AAAAAAAAAAAACGAAAATTAGAAGTTCAGATTTTGTTGGAATTATGTGAGTAAGGGGCTAATGTCAAAGGGGTTTCAAAAAATATTTGTGGGAACCAGAGGATGGATCCAGAGGGAGGGACATGTAACTGGAGATTGAAAAAGGCTTTCAGATGGCTGTACCATAGCTTATGTTTACATTCTCTATGCACAGTTTTGGTGAGAGTTACCCTGACACACCCATGAAAGACACTATTTAAAGCACTGGTTTATTATATATATATATATATATATATATATATATATATATATATATATACACACACACACATCAGATGAAGGGAGGGAAGATAAGGGGGTAAGAAAGAGAAGAGAAAGGTTAAAAGGGGCGAATTAAAAGACAAAAATAAAGAGAAGAGAAAAAATTAAATTAAGAAATAAAGGAACAGGCTGGGGATATTCAGCAGCACAAGTGCCTGCCCGGCAAGCACAAAGTCCTGAGTTCCAATTCCTGGTACCAAAAAAAATAAAAAATAAAAATACAAAAAATAAAGAAAGAACAACAAAACCTCTTGCAGTTGCAAAAGCACAAAACCCAAGAGTCCTCAGGGTATATTTACATTGCAGCCTGAATTCAAGTGCGGTTCTCCAGGCCGGTCCTTCCCTCCGTTTTTGGTTTGTTTAATTGCCTCCCTCTGAGCAAGGAGGCTTTGTGGATCCTGATGGCTGCCTGGGCCTACTTCCTGGCTCCTAGCAGTGCTCTGGTCACGGTTACCTACAGTTTTGTATCTGTCCCAAGAACCAACCTCAGTTAATTTGAGGAAGGAAAGGTGTAATGGGCCCAGGACCTAATTCTCCCTCAACTTCTGCCATTACCCTCTCACTCTCCATTCCTTTCCCAAGTGTTTTCCCTCCACAAGCCTTCTACCTCGTCCGTCCCCAGATGCCCTGTGACCCAGGCCACACTGTCTCTCCACCTGCAATCGTTTTTCAGTCATTCTCCTCAAAGCATCACTCTCTTTCAAACCTGATGCAGACCCAGGGCTCCCTGCTTTCAGTACTCCCCAACAGGGAGTGTTGAGTGTTCCCTTGTGGGTGTCCGCTGGCAAGCATAAACAACACACAGGATACCCCGTAACCCACAGAACTCCAGGTATGTGAGGGTAAAATAGGTGAGTAATTATTTCTGGGGTGATCTGGATCCTCTCAAGGGACTATTTCCTAGCTTTTTTTTTTTTTTTAAATTTTTTGGTACCAGGAATCCGTACCAAGAATCCTACTGCTCCTAGACACTGCTCACTTGCACTGTCCCTAAGCTGCAGTTTTCTTAGCTCTCGGATTCAGGTCCCTCTTTGGAGTGGCACAATTATTTTCAAATCCGCAAGGGTCCACTCACGCCCTCTTATATACCACTCTCCCAGGCTGTCAGTTTTTCTGCCCTAACCTGCAAGAACCTCCCTCCTGAATTCCTCTGCCTGGAGAAATGGTAATGACTGAAAGCCTACTCCACTGGCCAGGCTGCCAATGAAATGCCAATTCCCTCTCTCTCTTCCTCCCTTCCCTCTCTCTCCCAAGATGGCAGGAATGCCAGACCTGGGTTATAAGGAATGCCCAACCCAGGAGCAGTCCAGCTTTCCTTTCTAAACCTTCCTGGCACTGCATTTTAGTCAAGTGAGTTTCTCCTTTATTTTGCCTTCCTGAATCTTGCATTCTTCATCCCCTCTGCCTCAGTGTACCTACCCTCCACTGGTGTACAGATCAGTCTCTCTCCCTTAATACTGCCAGCCAGGTAGACATGATGATCTGCCACAATTAAGTCAAACTGCAGTATTTCCTTCCTCAGAAATTAGAATCCACTACAGCTGTGACATTCCCACCCACAAGGCCATAGGCCTGGGTTGAAGTGAGTGCTCCCACATCAAGGCAAATGCTTTAGTCTTAATGGCTCCTCCACCACACTTTTGCTTCCAGGAATGACTTGCCTTACTGACAACTAGTCAGGCACTTTGGTAAGTCCCCAGCAAAGTCACATTTTAATAAGTCACTCAGAACAGTGTCCAACTCACCAGCAGACGCGGTCCCAAGCACCACAGGCTGTGTCCTTGTAACACTGACATCCCAGATGCCATCTCTGTGGCCAATGTACTCCTTCACAAGCTGGCAGACAGCCCGCGATGTGGTGGTCTTAAAGCTAGACACAATCTACAACCAACAAGGGAAGGAGTACTTTTAAACATTTACTGAAATGAATTTTTCTAAAACAGGTAAAAAACAAAAGTCATGAAAAACCACTTAGTGGAATACTGTAAACACTAAAGGAACAAAACACCAGCATGAACAGAACTGAGTCACACTGGGCAGTAACACTAGGATCATTCAGCTGATGTCATAGAGAAAGAAGTCCTTCCAGAAGATTCAGAAGACTTCCTTCACTCCAGAGTTTGACAAGTAAGTAACGTCTCACTATAGGGGAAGGGCACAGGCAGGCATTTCAAGTCACTCTTCCAGAAATCCAAATGCTCAGACAAAATTTTCAAATTCTTTAGCAAAAAACAAACAAACAAAAACAACTAGGAACTAGCCATCCCACCAGACATGAAAAATCAGGACACCCCAAAGCATTAACCCTAATTACTGTACTGTGCTCAATGGAGAACTTTCACTTTTTTCCCTTTTTTTATAATTGACATTGACAATGCAGTAACTGGAAAAAAAAAGGCCCACACTGTGGGAGGAATCAAAAAACGACACTTATAACAGATGAGCATGTTTGCACAAGATTGTTTATTGAGCACTTGCTCGAAGCCAGCCAGTGTTAGATGGAGGAGACAGAGCTAAGTGACACATGGGCTCCTTGCCTTTCAAAAGCTGACGTCCAATGGAAGACAGACATAAAAACAATATAGACAATGAGGTACACACACAGTAAGGTACTATCTCATATAATGACACACACAACCGGTAATTCTCATTTTCTCTTACAAGGAATAATACAAAATGAGTAAGAAACTCAAAGATTTCTTCAGAGTTCATTTTTTACATTGTTCTTGGATTTTTTAAAAAGTAAGCTTTTAAGTAAATCAGAATAATTAGATTCTTTGGAAGAATGAAACCAGTAAACCAAGCGAAAAACAAAAATCAGAGGTATCATACAGCTTATTTTAAATACTGAATTAGCAAAGCTCTGAAAAAAAAAAAGTATCTAAATTCATCCTTACATAAATGCATTAAACCACAATGCAGTTACATTACTTTGGGTATGAGCATTCAAATTATGTCCCTGATACAGTGAAAGACTAAAAAACAAACAGTGATAGAAATTGACATTTTTACCAGTAATATAAACAGATTCTATTTGATGCAGTTTCAATTTAACAGAAAATATAAAAGAAATTCTTTAACCTCAAACCATTCATTATCTTTTCTTTCTGAAAGTTATTCAGCCTATTCAACCCAGCAAAATTATCACTCCACAAAATGAGAAAATATTTTTGCTTACAGAAAGTGCCACTCTGATGTCAAATAATATTAAACATTTTAGGAAAAGTGAAATTAAAACTACTTAAAATTTGCCCTATAATAAGTTATAGTAAATTTCATTTTCCCATTCACCATTTCTCATATAAATATTATGATCACAAGGAACTACCGAAGTCACAGGGTTACTGTATAAATCTTTACCTTTCACCTACCCCATTTATAGGGTAAAAACAGAAGGGTCATTAACAAATAATGTTAACATATATTCTATGTTGCTTCCAAAATGTTCATTACATTTTCAGAATCATCAATTAACGCTTTGTCCTTAAAAGTATTGACTTAATCACAATTACAAAGAGGCCCAACAACAGACTAAATTACTTAGAAGGAACATTCAGACCGAAAAGCAGCAGAATGAAGTAACTGAAAGACGCTTACACCTGTCATCCTAATTCATCTCAACTGACATACAATCGAAAGCATTTTTTTAAAAATGAGAAATGCCTTTTTTCCACAATGAAATGTATTTTATAAAAATATCTGCAAACATTTTCACAAGTTTCTCTAAAGTAGTTTGCAGGTTAGGCTTATCTTATCTACCTCCCAAAAAACATCAGAAATGTGTCAATAGACACTCAGGAAGGGGAAAAACTTACGTTTACTCAATATACTGTGATCCTACTATCTCACCAAGCATTCCACTTGCCTTTCATGGCTCTGAGTCAGAAAGAGGGAAAGTAATGAATCTATACTCGAGCATTTTCCTTGTTGCACTCCTGCTTAATTTTAATACCAAGAATCCACGATGTAGTATAAATCACAATATAATCTGCTAACAAATTATTTTCCTCACTTTTCAAATGTATCCTTTTATTATTTTTTAAGATGAGTACCCACCATATGCAAAATGCTTATAAATTTCTCATAAATTCAGATGAGTTGCTAGTCCTAAAATGACTGGTACATTTGCTACTACATTTCTTAAATGCAAAGGGTTACTGTACACATCTTTGCCTTTATTATATGGTAAGGAGCATAGTAAAGGATAACTTTATATCCTCTTCTAATTCAGAAATATTTAGAAAGTTTTGGAATTCTAAGACCACACATTGTATATATACAACTGTAAGTATCAGAATAAGCAATATATTTAAAAACAACAAAGAGAAATTAAATGAAGAACTTAATTTCATACTTCACTCTAAAGAAAAAGTTTAAATTTATTAAAAATTTCAAAGCTAATTATGTGAGCAAGACATTATAACCAAAAAAATCAAAATCAAATAAATGAGGAACTTACATTCTAGATGTTATCAAAACAAACAGTAGAAAATGTCATCAATATTCATATTTTCTTTTGAATAGCATTTAGTAATGACTTTCAAATAGGGAGAAATAGCAAGAAGACTGAATTTGCCCTAGTTCAGTTTATCTTGCTGTAGCTGCGATGCACAATAACTTTAAGTTCAAGAGAACAAATCAGAAAAATCAAGTTAATATCTTGCATTCACTGTTTGAATTTCAACTCTTTCTCTCAGGTTTAGCCAAAGGAATAAATATTCACTAAGGTTAGATAATTTATCTTGTACACACTTGAAATACTCCAAGGTAGAGATGCACAAAAAATTATTTCAAAGTATTGCTTCCTCATAGACAATGACTTCGCAATTGAATCCTTGCCACTTTAAAAGGGTCAGCACAAGACACTTGAAGGAAAAACACAACTCCACAAATTCTCTATTTCCCTCGGAGTTAGGGTTCTACTTCCTTTTCATATTTAGAAAATTTTTGAAGATAATGAACTAAATGAAACTTTAACCCAGAACACAATTTTATTTCCTCATACTTATCAGCCTTTTCCAAACCCGGAAATTCTATTTTTACTCTAAAAACAATACATTTACTTATACATATTATATTGATCTCACTGATTATTACAGCAGTTTAGTGTCTAAGCATCTGTGTACTGTGCCCATTTATACGATACACTTTTTAAAAATTACATTTCCTCAGAAATCAGACATTTATCTTTGACTATTACACATTTCCAGCTGGAAAATATGCAAGTTAAAGTACACATCTGCACACTTTAAACACCACATGACTGGTTCAAGAGCCAGCGCCCTGCATACCTTGCTGGTGGAAGCCTTGTAAGTGGTCTTTAGTTTCTGGGAAAGCTGACTGGTACTGTGACTAGCTGTAGAGACAGAGAATCGACAATCAAACAACTGAAGAACTACAGCACCGAAAAGCGGATCTTTGTCTAACCCAGAAAGAAAGTGAAACCCGGAAGTGTCTGCCCACAATGTAATGAAGGTAACAGCAGGGTAGCAGCAAGGACTCAAGCTCCCTGGCTTTTATTTCCCTAGACCTCACCAAAATTACGTTAAGTTATGCTCACAGCAGAAAACAAAGGAGTCTGTGTCCTTCATCGAATTCCAAATGTCTTTGATAAATAACCTGTAGGACAATACTTTAGTAATAGCATTCACCATACCTTTTGTCTTGAGTTGGCCCTTACTCAGTTCTGCCCCATCAATCGCTTGTCCTTCAGCAGCTAAGCGTTCATTAAGAGTATCAATTTCTCTACGCACTGAGAATAAAAAAAGTTTTTTCAAAATCATAAAATACGTTTAATATGTTTTTATGTTTAAGTACACTTAACACTTCCAAAACCTGCAAACATCTAAATGTCATATGTGGGTGTTGCCAAGACAAAGTAAAGTTTAAATGACATACAATTACATTCTCTTTATAACTACACTTGTTATGAAGTTTAAAAAAAAGTGCAACTTAATAATGTAAATGCTACTTGTTGACAATTTTTGGAATAGAGCAGGAAAGGTCTGAGTATAATTTGTAAGATATAAACCTTATATACACAAATCCTATAAAAATGAAAACTGGCAAGTAATGGAGCAACAAAGGGAGTAAAAGATATGTTTGTTTCCTAACATTTCTTGTTAAAGCATTAATGTATACAGCCTAAAGTAAAAAAAAATCTAAAACTGAAAGTAGATTATTTTTGTTTACAGTAATCACCAGAAGAATTAAAGGCAAAAAATGCAGAAAATGTTTTTCTTTAAAGAATACAACGGAAAGCCAGCACAGTAGCACGTGCTTCTGAGGCAAGAGGATCCTTGCAATTTCAAGACCAGCCTGGGCTACAAGTGAGCTCAAGGCCAGCCTGAACTGCATAGCAAGGTCCTGTCTCAAAAAGACCAAAACGAAAAAGAAATGTTCAAATGATGTTCTATAAAAGAAAAACATGAATTAAAGTTTTCTCAATGTAAAGTAGAGCTGGGGCAGGAAAAATAAAATGTACACATTTTTTATAAAATCACAATTTGGATGGGTAGGTACAGTGGACAGAATAAGAGCCCCCCTCAAAGATGCCACATAACATATAAATGTTACCTCACAGGTACTCTGCAAGTGGGGAATTACCCGGGATTGTACTGGGCTCAGTCCAATCTTATGTACCCTTATGGGTAGAGGGGAACCAGAAGAATAGGTCAGAGACACAGTAAGAGGATCCATTAGCAAGACAGAGGCGGACCACATGCCAAGGAGTACAGCAAGGGGACCTAGCCTAAAAACAAGGAACTAAATTCTGGCACAGTTAAAAAAAAGCAGAAACTGTCCATCACTAGCCTTCAAAAGGAAGCAAAGTTCTGCTAATAACTTGACTTTAGTCTGATGAGAACAAGCCAGGGCTACAGAACTGTAGGACAATAATGTGTTATTGTAAGCCATTAAGTTTGTTACAGTTGAATAGAAAGTTAATATGGTGATGAATGTTTTTTTTTTTGTTTTTTTTCCGGTACCGGGAACCGAACTCACAACCTTGCGCTTGCCAGGCAGGCGCTTTTGCCACTGAGCTAAATCCCCAGCCCCAATATGGTGATGAATGTATATGGACAAATTTTACTATCTATCTCAAGGATTTCTATGGATAGGTGAAAAGTTTAAAAATATATATTGATAGGAGTACTCACATTCTAAGTTTTCAATATAAAGATTTTCAAATTCTCTTTCTATTTGACCAAACAGTTCCAGAAGTGTACTACGAACTGAGGAAGGCAGTTTAGAATCCTGTAGAAGAAAAATGCTTTATTTAAAATTAAGAAATGAATGAGATGCTCTAATACCAAGTATCAATATACTTTTCTCAAAGTAAATTATCTTTCACCTTAAACTCTTATATCACTACATATGAAATGCTTGAAGAATTTACAATTTAAAGCGACATAGCTCAGTGTTAAGAGAATGCGCTTTGCATGCACAAGGCCCCAAGTTCAATCCTCAACACCAAAATAAAGAAAGTTTCAAATTTCTACACAGCAAACTATAATCAAATTGTATAAATGGCTATCTAAGGTAATATAAAATTTAGGAACACGTATTTCTTCAAAATTATTTTTCTTTTACAAGGAAGACATAAGCCTACCTTCTAAATTTCCCAATTTGCAGAGAAGGAAGGCAATTTCCATAAGTGAAGTTAGAGTATAAATAGCCTTTATGCCCCATCATATGCTCTTATAAATGTACTGTAACATGTTATCGGCTAATAGAAGATGTGCCTTATCATTGTTACATTCACTGTGCCTCAAGCAAAAAACCAGATATTCTCTGCAACTGTACTTACTACCTAAAAGACTGCTACGGAAAGGGGAAAAAAGAAAAATCTCACCTATAAAGAGTAAAATGCAGATTAGCTAAATGAAAATATTAACTTTTAAGTTCCCAGCTGGGCTACAATCTTTGCACCTCTTCCTTTGCACATCTTCTCACATCTCCAGTCTGTCTAAAAAGTCAAGGGAAGCAACGGGAAAAGTAACATCTCAGCTCTACTGTTAAGGAGGGTCAAATAAGTGAGTGGTGTGGTAGGTACCAAATAAATTCAGAGAACACTTACTTTTCCTACATACTGCTGCTCAATAGGAGAGTGCTTGATAATGGTCTATATTCTACTCTAATCTTCTTGAGGGCACGGCCTACACAGTATTTTATAAGTGTCCCCCACCCTTCTGTACTCAAAAGTAATTTTCCAAAACAAAAAACCCTCAACAAAAACTTCTAAAACGTTTTAATATTAACTGGTATCAGTGTGATTTTCAAAGTGACTTTTCAAGTTTACGTATAGTACAAATATTTATTATTTGATGAGTTGCAAAAAAGAAACAGGGCTTATTAAATTCTTGTCAGGTAAACTTTTTTTAATGGTGGCGAAGTTTCACATTATTAAAGGCAGGAAAAAAACAGAAAGGGAGGGAGAAAACAGGCACATAAACTTCTTAGAAGGCAATTTTAGGAAAATGATAACAGTTTAGCAACTTGAGTTTTGCAATGATCATAGATATCTCACATGAATTCTGTAAACTACTTAAGAACACATACATATGAAACCTCTATTTTAAATATTAACTCGGTGAACCAGTAATTTCAATATTCCTCCAAAATGTTGATAAAGAACATAAAAAAAAAGAAAATCAAGTAATAATGAAAACTTAAATGATCAAAATGGAAATTCCTACAACCAGAAAAGATGAACTGAACTGAAAAGCACAAATAATATTTAACTCTCCACACAGCCTGTTGTCTTTGCACATCCCACTCCTTCTCTATGCAATATCCCCTCCTCACAAGTGTCACCTCCTTAGAAAAACCTTTCTCACTTCCACATCAGACCAGATCTCTCTTACATACTTACTCATCTATACCCACAATGTTTTAAGATCATGATTATTCAGCAACTAAAATGCTGTATTTACTTAAATATTAAATGTACCTTAATATAAAAGTAATTATTATGAAAAAGCTAAGATGTATTATACGCAACAAATCACTAACTTCACTTCAGAAAATCATTTGTAGACTTAAAATAATGAAATAGAAAAAACTCTAGAAGACAAGTTGAACTATGTAACAGAATACCTTAAAAAAAGTTATTTTTCTATCTTTTTTATGCTATTCAATTCGACAGAACTTGAAGTGCTGAAAGGTTGATACCTCTTAAGAAATTTAAGACAGAAAAGATACTAGATTCAGTAAAGCTTTTAAATGAATTTGTATTTCCTCACACCAACAGTGACATACACCTAAAATAGTAGTGTATATATATAGGTGCATATATATATATGTGTATATATATATATATATGTATGTATATACTTCCTGCATATATATATGCAGGAAGTAACTCTTCAAGCCACAGTCAACACTTCAAATCACACTGATCACAAGAGCGAGAGTGATTCTGCAGTCCTCTGCAGCAGCAACTGTCCCATGCTCACACTACACACTGCTTTGTAAACTACTTCTAACATAGTATCTCATTCAGACTGAACATCACTAATGCTGTTTTTAAACAGTACTACCCAACAATCAAAGAGCACTTAAAGATACTTTGTCTAGAAAGTGATTACTCCTATAATCCAAATCTGGCAATCGACAATTCTGTACTCCTATATCACTCTACCTGTACCTACCATGCCAAATGATTGCACCAAACATCTATCACTCTTTCTCTCTTGCAGCAGATGGAAGGCAGAGCACTTTACAATGACCACTCACAGAACATGCTGACTAGTCCCACTCTGTACTCATTCAACAAGCAAGGACCATTTTGAGAATGTAAGAAAAGCAAAGAAGGGGACTGTAAGAACAGTGTAGAGTACTAGGTTGTTCAGCTTGAGGAACAACTACCTTGAAAGGGTTACCACAAGATGCAATTACCTAAAAAAAAAAAAAAAAAAAGATGCAATTACCTCCTTGTACTACATCACAGTGGAGGAGAAGCACTCAAGAAAGCCAAAAGAAGAACAAATTTATATTTTCCTTACACAGGTAAATACCAGCAAGGCAGAATTTTCAATGCTAAAAGTACAATTAAGAATTTTTTTAAAACTATCTTAGGACATTTACCTAAAGAGTCATAAGGTAGTCACGACTATTTAAATTTCAATGTAATTAAAAATCTTTAAAAAATAAAATTTCAGTTTCTAAGTTACATGAGTCACATTTCAAGTGCTCAATAATCATCTGTAGTTTGTTGCTCCCATACCACACAGCACAAACACAGAGTATTTCCATGAGCACGAAAGTCCAACCATATAGCTTTGGCTTCCCTCTCTCAAGGGGCTGAACTATGTCTCCCCAAATTCTTATTGTGAAGTCCTACCCCAAGTACCTCAGAATGTGACCATATTAAGAGTTGGGGTATTTAGTCTTTTTTTTTTTTTTTGGTTTTTCTCCGGTACCGGGAACCGAACTCACGACCTTGCGCTTGCCAGGCAGGCGCTTTGCCGCTGAGCTAAATCCCCAGCCCCAAGAGTTGGGGTATTTAGAGAGGTAAATTAACGTAAAATGCAGTTAGAAAGTGTGCCCTAATCCATTATGACTAATGTCCTTTTAGAAGAAGAAATGAGGACACGTGGAGAAGAAAGACCATGTAAGGATACAAGGAAAAAGCAGCAACAAACCAACAGAGAGGCCTCAAGAGAAACCAACCCTTCTCACACCTCCATCTCAGATATGAGTCTCCAGAATTGTGAGAAATAGGTTTGTTTAAGCCACTCAGTTTATGGTACTTTGTTACAGGAGCCAGCATTAAATTAAAATGTAATCACTGATTAAAAAAAAAGTAGAACCAGGGGTCTAGGGAAGCAGCTCAGTGGTAGAACACTTGCCTAGCATACATGAAGGCATGGGTTTCATTCTCAACACCACCAAAAAAAATAAGAACCAGGGCACTGCTGACCCTCTATATCCAGAGGTTCCATACTTGTGGACTCAACCAACTGTGAATTGAAACTGTTTGAGTCAAGAATTATGTACAGGGTTTTTTTCTTACCATTTCCTAAACAATTCAGTATTAACAACTACTTTACATAGCAACTACACTATATTAGACTCTACAAATAATATAGAGATGATCTAAAGTATACAGGATATGCACAGGTTATACAAACAGTATACCAGTGATGGTGAATCTTTCTCTGAAGTGCCCAAACTGCAACCCAAAACCTACTTATTTATGGCAAAGTGCCAATACTGCAATTAAACCTGAATACTGAGGTTTTAGTCTAGAAAAAAACAACTCATACATTAACATCTCTTTTTTTTTTTTAACATCTCTTATCTTGAAAGAAACACACCATAACACATATGCTATAGTTTTCCCACTGGTATATAAGGACTTAAACATTCACAGCTTCTAGTATGCTCAGGAGAACCCGGAACTAGTCCCCCACAGATAACACAGAATAATGTGGTTCAAACTGAACGTCTACTTTATGGCAACAGCTGTGCTGGGTTCCGTGTCACACTACTGCCCTTGTGGAGGTTACACCCTGGAGGTCGTCTCAGGTATAAAGTTACCGACATATTTCTAACCAGACCCAATGTTCATTCATAAGAACCAATTTCTCAGATTGAAGTTTATTTTCCTCTAACATTACGGCTGACCAATTAGTTCTAATTGTGAAGGAATGGTTATAAAAAATATAATTACATTTATATAAAAGTTATGTAAGCATACATATATATGTGTATGGGTAAGTGCATATATATGTTATATATTTTATATATATACATACATATACATATATATATCTTAATATAATACGCTTTTGGCCAAGATTAACAAAAAAGCTCTTTAAAAATTCTAACATATTCACCATCAATAGAGGAACTAGAAAAAATATCATCAAAGCTTCCGTATATCAATATTAGTGCATTAGAAAACAGCTGGGAATGGTGGTGCATGCCTATAATTCCAGAACTTGGGAGGCTGAGGCAGAAGGACCACCCTGAGTTTGAGGCCAGCATGGGCTACATAAGCTAGTTCCAGGCCAGTCTGGACTACATAGTGAGACCCTATCTCAAAAAAAAAAAAAAAAAAGAGAAGGAAAATAAGTATGTATTTGGTTATTTTCATAACATTACAAACATGATCACATCTTCACAATAGGGCAGTGCTCAATAATAACTTACTTGTCCTTCTAACATTTCTCTTGGTAGGCCTGTCCTCTCCTGTTCTGAGCTGTTAGTTCTTCGTATAGAAAGGCTATGTGATTTGCGTTTTTGTTTTGCTTGACGAGCAGTTGAACAACTTCCGCTTTCTGTGGGCATTACTTCTAGAAGGTAGTGTCCTGGTCACTTCTGCAATATGCTAAACAACAGCAGGAAAAACACAGACTTTATTTCTGATACAGAAAATTGAAATTAAAAAATGGCTAACTATTGCTTTTAATTACAAGCCTGCTTACTATCATTAACATTTACATATAATGTAGATCAGGTAAGGTGTTGCCTTTGTAAAGAAGGTAGTTGTTTTCAAATGTCGTTAACATTTGAAAAAACTAAATAGTAAACATACAAAAATTTTTTAAAAATTCTCCCTTAGCTCAACTTGCCTCAGTTTCTGGTTACTATTCAGAAGTAACTAAGTATAACTGCACATTCTAAACTATGTAGATTCTAGAGTAATATTGCATAGTCTTAAGAGAAACACAACATAAGCCACACATGTAACTTTAAATTTTCATTTTGTTTTTGCTTTTTTTTGAAAGCTAAGACAGGGTCTCTCGACATAGCCCAGAACTCATGCCAATCCTCCTGGCTCAGCCTCCCAAGTGCTGGGATTACAGGTGTGCACCACCACGCCCGGTCTAATTTTAAATTTTCTAGTGGCTGTATTTTAAAAGTAAAAACATGTGACTTTACTGTTAACGATTTATTTAACCCACTGTGTCTAAAATAATAATTTAACTGTCAACATAAGAAATATTAATGGTTTGGCAAGCGCAAGGTCATGAGTTCGGTTCCCAGTACCGGAGAAAAAAACAAAAAAACAAAAAAACAACAAAAAAAAATTAATGGTACATTTTATACCTTATTATTTTTGTGATTACCTCTTCAAAATTAAGTGGGTACTTTACATTTACATTACATCTCAATTCAAGCTAGTCACAAATCTCTAGTTAATTTTAAACACTATGATATACCTACTTTGGGTATTTTGTACTCATTTCATGCCATTTTCCATTCCTCCTATAGATATATCACTCTGTTAACACATTTTAAGTAATTACATTACATCTTTCTTCTTCAGCTACAGATTTATGTTTCAAACACCACTTACTCATTTTTTGCTAGTAGGCATTGATCCCTCCTCTGAATACAATCCTATCACTACAGCAGTTCAGGTAAATGCTGACAAGCAGCACTGGGCTTCACCATAACAATGTTTTTCCTCCAGGACTGTGTAAAGCCAAATTGAACATATCATGACCCAAAATTATGTTGATTTAGAAAAGGAAACTGGCCTAAGTCCTCATATTAGAGGGATGGTTCTATTCAATGAGTATATCAACTTGGTAAGATGCTGACCCTTAAAATAATCATATGGGCTATATAAACATCCACATTCCAAGCAGGCAGCTGTAACTGTGACTTAAGTGACTGCATTACCGATCATTGTCGCAAGGCCAGCTAGATTTATTTCTACTGTTGAACCTTTTAATTCCTCAAACACCTGCATCAAATGTAACAAAAGTTCCTACCCCTTTCCTTCTAGTTGGTTCTTGCTTACTTATCGTAACACTTCCATATTTTGCTACAAAATTATTTAACACAAACTCAGTTTCTTTTGAGGAACATTTATTCATGCATACAGGAGTGATATAGCAGAGATAAAACGTCTTCACACACAAAAAAAAAACTGAACATCTTCCATAAAGATTATTGATAAAGATAGGCAAAATATTTCCTATTTGGTTTATTAAGCATGATAATTACAATAGGCAAAATATTTCCTATTTGGTTTATTAAGCATGCTGAACACTCACACTAAAAATATTTCTTTTTATCTCTTATGAAAATACAATTCATTTTAATTATTTCTAGTATTATAGTTAGTAGAAATCAATTAACCTTAAAATAAAAAGAAGTCTGTAGGGGCTGGGGATTTAGCTCAGTGGCAAAAGCGCCTGCCTGGCAAGCGCAAGGTCGTGAGTTCGGTTCCCGGTACCGGAGAAAAACCAAAAAAAATAAATAAATAAATAAATAAAAAGAAGTCTGTAATTCTTTTTTCCATATAGTACTAGTACATGAATGTCGGTACACTGAAATTTAGTCTTGTTTCCTTTTTATTATATACTACTTGGAATGAATGCAGATAACTCTTGTTATTAAAAGTAAAAAGCCAAGCCTAATTAAAGAAATGTCAGAAACCTACAAAAAAATTTACATATTATTTATGTGTAAAACTGCTCTTAAAAGCTTTCGCTTATTTGTGAAGCTTTTAATTGCTCTTAACCAAAACTTGTGAGTTAGTCATGGAGTCCCCATTTTACCACAAATAGTAGGATCACCTTTTCTTCTTAAGTTTTTATTTTGAAATAACTGCACATTAACAGGAAGTTACACAGATGGTATGGAGAAATTTCTTCTTTCCCCAGTAGTTGTATCTCAAATCGTACAATTTGTTGATCAACCTGTTAATTTTCTTAAACCAGCAAATTGACATGTAGTTTTCACTTTGTTCCACACATAAATTGTGTGTAGTTTTCACTGTCACACATATACATTTCTATAACTACTACCAAACCTTCCCACTACAGTATTACAAAAATCACACTCATGCTCATCATTAATCATCCCAACACCCTTCTTAAGCACCATCCCTAACTCCTGACAACCACTAATTTGTGTACCATCTCTACAGTGGTATTGTTTGGAAAATATTACATAACCATTCATCTACTGCAAAAAGTTATTTCCATTATTTTACTATATTACAAAAAAAATTGCTATAAATAATAATGTACAGTTTTCACTGTAGATATGTTTTCATTTTTTCTGGATAAAGAGCCCAGGAGTGAGACTGCTGAGTTATAGAATAAATGTATGTTTAGTTTAAAAAAAAAAAAGGAATCTTATTGAAATATAATTCATACACCATATGAATCACCAATTTAAAATGTATAATTTGCCAGGTATGATGACGCACACCTGTAATCCCAGCACTTAAGCGGGGTTAGACAGGAGGACTGCCTTGAGTTCACAGCTAGTCTGGGCTACATGGTGAGTTCAAGGGCAGTCTGACTACATAGCCAGACCCTTTCTTCAAAAAAAAACAAAAATAAAATACAATAAAATGTACAATTCAATTATTTTCAGTACTTCAGAGTTGTGCGATCATTTCCACAGTCAACTTCAGAACAATTTTATCACTCTAAAAACAAACCGCCCTTCCTTTAGCAATCACTTCCCATCTTCCCCACCCATTCCCCTCAGCTAGCCCAAGGGAACCACTATTTTACTGTCTCTGTATGTAAATTTGGCTATCTAGGCCATTTCATAAACAGTGAACCCTAGGTATACAAGGGTTTTGTGTCCACTGGTCTCGGACACAAATCAAAAATTGTCTATACAAAACATGCAGACTGTTTTTCTTGTCATTGGTTGCTAAACAATACAGTATCACAACTATTTATGTAGTGTTTACATTATATTAGTTATGCATACATAACCAAGAGATGATTTGAAGTTTATGGGAGGATGTTAACATCTGCAGATTTTGGTATCTTCAAGACTGCTAGAATAACTTCTCCACAGATTTGAAGTGACAACAGCAGATGGAATTATACAATATATGATCTGGTCCAGCATGAATGGCTTCTTTCACTCAGCCCAATGGTCTCAAGGTTCATTTATGCTGTAGCTTGCACAGTAATTTACTACTGCCAAATATTTCACTGTGTGGATATACCACATTTTACTTACCTATTCATCAACTGATAGGCATCTAGCTGTTTCCATTTTTTTTTTTTTGGTTATTATTTTTACATACCTGTATTTCATTTCTCTTGGGTATACACCCATGAATGGAATTCCTAGGACATATGGTGACTCTGGGTTTAATGATGTTCACTTTTATTATCTTTTCAAGAAACTATTTTACAGAGTAGCTATATCCTTTTTACATTACCATCAGCAACGTAAGAGATTCAGTTCTCTAAGTCTTCATCAGCATTTGAATTTGATATTGTCACTATTTTTAATTTTAGCTGTCCCAGAGGTGTGGAACAACTCATGTGGTCTCAATTTGCATGTCCTTGATGGCTGGCTAGTATAACTAATTCTCTTTCCCTGTTTGAATACCTGTTCAGTGAAATAACTTTTGCCTGTTTTCTAAAGCATCTAAGAGTTGTCTAATTATAATATATGAATTTTTCAACAATTTGAAGTATTTAATATATATGGGTTGCAAATGATTTCTCCCAACCTGTTACCCATCTTTCTATCCCAACAGTGTTTTTCACAAAGAAAATTGTTTTTTTTTAATTTGATGAGCTTTTATGGCTCATACCTTTGGAATCATGTGTGAAATCTTTCCACCAATCTGTAGGTCTCAAAAGTGTTTTCCTATTTTCTCCTAAAACTTTTAAAATTTATGTTTTGCATCATAATTTCAGTGCTATTTGATGTTCATATTTTTATAAAGTTGTGAGGTTGTATTTTTGTTTTTGCTAGTGGAATCCAATTACTCTAGCACTATTTGTTAAAAAGGCTAACCATCCTATATTGTTTAAGAGGTAGAGCCCGGGATATATAGCTTAGTGGAATAGAGCCTGCCTGGCAAGCAGAAGGTCCTGAGTTCGATTCCCCATACCAAAAAAAAAAAAAAAATTACTGAGGTAAAAGTCACATAATATAAAATTTACCATTTTACAGTGTACAATTCAGAGGGGTTTAGGAAATTCACAATAGCCATCCATACTACAATGAATTATTTAGACATCCTTGTCAAAATGATTCAAGTAGCTGTAGCTATGTAGAACTATTTTTTTTTTTTTTTAGTTCTCTGTCCTGTTCCATTGATATACTCCCACAAGAATAGTTTTCATTATTCTGCTACAAGTCTTTTTTTGGAGGGGGGCGGATACCAGGAATTGAACTTAGGACCTCACACTTGCCAGGCATGTACTGCGCCACTAAGTTGAAGTCCCGGCCCTATGCTACAAGTCTTGAAATCAGCTGTAGGGATTCCCATCACTTAAATTTTTCTCAAAATTGTTTTGTTGTTCTAGTTCCTTGGTCTTCCTTTGAAATTTTAGAATATTCTTTTCCATATCTTCAAAATTCTTGCTGGAACTTTTAAAGAAATTTTGCTGTGTATGAATGTGAAGATTGGTATTTTTATTTTGTTGAGCCTTACAATTTATGGAAGCAATATTTAGATCTTTCCTCAGTTTTGTATTACTGCAAAAAAAATTCTGTTTTCTCTTTAGTGTTTCAGCAGTTTTAAATAACGGTGTATTTTTATTTTAGTTTCTACATACTCATTGCTAGCAGAGATATAAATGATTTTGTGTATTAAATTTACATCATGTATCCCTGCAGAATTTATTTATAAATGAGATTATTTTCTATACTCCTTTGGATTTTCTATTTATTCTATCATCAAGGAGGAGGGAGGACAGTTAATTTCTTCCTTTCTGCTTTGCAAGCCTTTGATTTTCTTTTCTTTATCTATTTAGCTAGAAATTCTAGTACTATGTTGAATTACAACAGTGACAGGAAACATCCTTGTTCTGCCCGCAATCTCAGGAGAGAAATAATCACCCCTGTTCCATCAAGTATGATACTAAAGAAAGGATTTTTTCAGTTGTTTAAGTAGAGAATATTTACCTCTATTATTAATTTTCTAAGAGTTACTTTCACAAATGAGCATGGAATTCTACTATATTCTTTTTCTGCATCAGTTAATATAGGGGCATAGCTTTTCTTTTTTGATCTAACATGGTCAGTTACATTGAGGAGTTTCAAATACTAAGCCAACCTTACATCCATGAAATAAAACCCACTTGGCCATGCTGAGTAATTCATTCTCTTTTCTTTCTCTTCTGTATTTTATTAGGCCTTTGCACAAATTATTTGAACATTTGTTACAATTCAGTTGTATTTACATACAGTATCTCTGAGTTTATCTCTTCATATAACTGTTAGTAGCTGCACTAGGTATTAAATTATCACTTCACCTTTTCCTATTTATAACAATCATTTAAATATTTCTACATGCAATGAAAAACAGATAGTTACGCTTCAAATTTCAAACAACATGAAAAGAAACAAGTGCTGAACTTAATATTTTTGTTCCTTCCACTATTTGTTTTTCCTTATGATAGGCCTCACATTTCTTTTATGAGTTTGTTTTTGTGTAAGAAACTTCCTTACCTATACATAAGAGTTGGCCTATTGGACATGAATGATGTGAAGGACGTTCTCACTTGACCTAGAATTCTGAATTGATTTTTCTTTCCCCTGAGCACCTGAATATGTTATGTCATTTTCTTTTGACTATGATTTCTGATGAGAAATATACTGTTAAATTGCTTTTCCACTATACATAAACCACTTTCTTTTTTCAGTTTTTAGAAGTTTGCCTACAATGTGTCTGAATATCTTTGTGTTTATCCTCTGTGCATTTCACTCAGCCTCTTCAATGTGAAGGGTTAGGGCTTTCCAAACTTATGAAACAGCCAGCAGCTTTTCAATTACTTTTTCAGTCTTTTGCCTCTCTTTCAGGAACTTTAATGACACAAATATAGACTTTTTGTTAAAATCCCAGAAGTCCCTGACATTCTGTACATTTATTTTTCTAGTCTACTTTCTCTTTGTTGTTCAGAATGGGTAATTATATTGTTTTACACTCAGGTTTACTGAATTTTTTTTTTTTTTTTTTTTTTTTTGTGGTACCAGAAATTGGACTGAAGACCTTGTGCTTGCTAGGCATGCGCTTGTGCCGCTGAACTATATCCGTG